TCTTCCCGTCGCCGAATCGCCTCCGCGAGCAGTCACTTCCTCCGTCCTATCATCCGTGCCTCCGCCTCCGCCGTAGAAACGATCGATACAACCACTGATTCGTCTCTGGTTGATAAATCGGTTAATACGATCAGGTTTCTAGCGATCGATGCGGTTGAGAAAGCGAAATCGGGTCATCCAGGTCTTCCAATGGGTTGTGCTCCGATGTCTCACATTTTGTACGATGAGATCATGAGGTATAACCCTAAGAACCCTTATTGGTTTAATCGCGATCGATTCGTTCTCTCTGCTGGTCATGGATGTATGTTGCAATACGCTTTGCTTCATCTCGCTGGCTACGACAGTGTTAGGGTTTGTGATCTCTCACTCTTGCTGATTGATTTCGTAATCCCTTTAGTGTAGATTCGGTTTATAGATTTAGGATTGTTGAAACAGTGTTTGGATTTGTTTATTTAGGAGGAAGATTTGAAGAGTTTTCGTCAATGGGGAAGTAAGACTCCAGGACACCCTGAGAATTTCGAGACTCCTGGTGTTGAAGTCACTACTGGTTAGATTTTTTGTTTCGGTTCGTGTCCGATTACAGAAGCTTCTCTTTGTATGTCAATCTTTGTAATGGCATTGTTTGCTTTCTCCTAAAATGCAGGTCCTCTTGGACAAGGTATTGCAAATGCTGTTGGTTTAGCTCTAGCTGAGAAGCATTTGGCTGCTAGGTTCAATAAACCTGGCAATGAGATTGTTGATCACTACACGTAAGATTTTGAATCTTTCATGCTCGGTTTCTGGATTATCTTTCTTGGTTTGTGTTTGATGTTTTGATGTTGAAAAATGCTGTTTTTGGATTAGATATTCGATTCTTGGAGATGGTTGTCAGATGGAAGGGCTTTCACATGAAGTTTGCTCTTTGGCTGGTCACTGGGGACTTGGAAAGCTCATTGCTTTCTACGATGACAATCACATTTCCATTGATGGAGACACGGAAATCGCCTTTACCGAGAATGTGGACAAGCGTTTTGAAGCTCTTGGATGGCATGTTATTTGGGTTAAGAATGGTAACACTGGTTATGATGAGATCCGTGCTGCCATTAGGGAAGCTAAGGCTGTGACAGACAAGCCCACTTTGATTAAGGTATCATCACACTTTTGTTAGCCATTAAGCATCGCATGATCTCAAATCCTTATAGTATTTACTATATTTTGGCATGATTTAGGTCACTACTACAATTGGTTATGGATCTCCCAACAAGGCAAACTCATACAGTGTCCATGGAGCTGCACTTGGCGAGAAGGAAGTTGAAGCTACCAGAAATAACCTTGGATGGCCATATGAGCCGTTCCAGGTACCTGAGGATGTGAAAAGGTAAGTAGAGCTAAACTAGACTTCTGTTTATATTTGTGTTATGGGAACCTTGCTTTGGTAATTTACTATTTTCCTTACACTTCCTAGCCATTGGAGCCGTCACACTCCCGAAGGCGCTGCTCTTGAAGCTGATTGGATTGCCAAGTTTACAGCTTATGAGAAGAAGTACCCAGAGGAAGCTGCAGAGTTGAAATCCATAATCTCAGGTGAATTGCCTGCCGGTTGGGAGAAGGCACTTCCCGTAAGTAGATCTTTCTTGTAATATGTAACTTTTAATTGGTAAGCTTGAGATGGGTCTTATTTACCACAACTCTAATTTTTTCATTTTTCAGACATATACACCAGAGTCCCCAGGTGATGCCACCAGAAACCTGTCTCAGCAATGTCTTAACGCCCTTGCGAAAGTTGTGCCCGGTTTCCTTGGCGGAAGCGCTGACCTTGCATCTTCCAACATGACATTGCTTAAATCATTCGGCGACTTCCAAAAAGCCACACCTGAAGAAAGAAACCTTAGATTTGGTGTTAGGGAACACGGTATGGGAGCTATCTGCAACGGCATTGCCCTTCACAGCCCCGGTTTTATCCCTTACTGCGCAACTTTCTTTGTGTTTACTGATTACATGAGAGCTGCAATGAGAATCTCGGCTTTGTCTGAAGCTGGTGTTATATACGTTATGACCCATGACTCCATTGGTCTTGGAGAAGATGGACCAACCCACCAACCTGTCGAACACTTATCCAGTTTCCGCGCCATGCCCAATATTATGATGTTCCGTCCTGCTGATGGAAACGAAACAGCTGGTGCATACAAAATCGCTGTCACTAAACGTAACACACCTTCTGTCTTAGCCTTATCTAGACAAAAACTGCCTCAACTTCCAGGAACATCCATTGGAAACGTCGAGAAAGGTGGATACACCATTTCCGACAACTCAACGGGTAACAAACCCGATGTGATCTTGATCGGTACTGGATCAGAGCTAGAGATTGCTGCTCAAGCTGGAGAGGAGTTAAGGAAAGAAGGCAAAACTGTAAGAGTTGTTTCGTTTGTTTGTTGGGAGCTATTCGATGAACAATCAGATGCGTACAAGGAAAGTGTTTTGCCGTCTGATGTATCAGCTAGAGTTAGTATCGAAGCTGGAACGACATTCGGATGGGGAAAAATCGTTGGAGGAAGAGGAAAATCGATTGGAATTGATTCGTTTGGAGCAAGTGCACCAGCAGGAAAGCTTTATAAAGAGTTTGGTATCACCATTGAAGCTGTGATTGAAGCAGCTAAGTCACTTATCTAAAGAGTATCTATAAAGAGGTACTGAGGTTTGGATTTGAAGTAAGAGATGTTCCCATAAGGCATTATCCCCTTTGTCCCAATAAAGAAAAATTCTAAGATAACAAATAAAAAAAGATGTTTTTGTTTTTCTTGTAATTAGGATAGGTTTGGTTTTTGTAACCACTGTGTTGTACTTTTGTGCTTGA